TGTGACTAAGAAAACATCCACTTGCCAGAAGCATGGGTGAGCAGGTGTATTTGTCAACCAAAGGACTGAAGAAGAAGGTGCCAATGAAAGCGTGGTTAATACAATCATAAAATTACCCTTTTTGTAATGCCATTTCCTTCAAAAATGAATGCTCACATCTCCTATTGTATGCCTGAAGGGACTACCATCACTAAAACTGCCCTAAACTGTTTCAATTATTCAAGGGATTTGAATAGCGTTGAAAATACAATATTAAGTGGCATTTGTAGACATTGAATTCAAAGCTGTGATTCTTCTAACAGGTTAACTCACTAAAAGAACTTTGTTGTATGCTCATCTGTATCACTAGGCCACAAACTGTAGAACCAGCATGCGATGATCTTCCAAAAAAAAAAACTTTATTCCACCTATGACTTAGGCCGAGTAAGGCAGAAATGCATCAGCGGTCATCTTTTGTATATATGCATGTGGAATAAAGTTTGATTTTCTTTGGAAGATCAACATGTGCTGGTTTTACAGTTTTTGAGCCTATCACTCCAGAAAAAGGGTCATCCGTGCACCAAATAAAGATTACAAAGATGCATGATGGGGGTGAGCTGTACGCCTTGTGTTTCTAGCCTTCACTAGGCCACTAGTATTTTGAAAGTTCAAAATATAGTGCACTAAAAAAAAAAAATTAAAAAAAAAAAGCTTGATTGTAGACATGTTAAAATTTAATAACTACACTAAAATAGCTCACATGGTACAACTGCAAATGCGTTTCAGCCACTAAGGGTCTTAATCACAGCTATAATTAAGGTTAAGTGGCTGAAATGCATCAGCAGTTGTACCAAGTGAGCCATTTTTGTTTATTTACAAATCCTTGGAACCAGTAATGCAGAGGAATTCAATTGGCGATGAAGGTCGAGCATGTACACCTTCTTATTTTCACTTCAGCCTGAATTACCAAACTTCACCTGCTAGGTCTCTTTTGCTCTACCAAGCTGTGGGATCCTACTATTGCTCCAGCAGGAGGAGTCGTCTCAATGCTTTGTGCAGATAATATCAATAAATTACTAATGCTAATTGGCTATGAGACCGTTGTTGCACCACAACTACAAGTTAATAGAATAATGATGTAAAGTTATCTTAGCATTGTATTTCAATGAATTACAATACACTACTTACGGATCAACAATGTCCTCTTTTTTCCCGCATTTGGCACAAAGTTCATGCTCAATAGCACATGGTTTGCATATGATGCGATAGGCATCCTTCACTGTTTTTTGAAGACATTTAACACTAGAAAAAAAAATGAATAAAAAAAATAAAAAAAATAGTAATAATATTATTAATCATGGCTACATAAATAAGTGTGCCAACCATAAAAAATATAATGGTAGTGCTATATGATCATTTGTCATAAATTAAAAGCAGCACAGCAGAAATAGAATATACAGAACAAAGCTGAACACACAGATATATTTAGCAAGCAGCAGAAAGACTGTAATGTTAGGCTTCATGAATATCCAACTGCTTTGTATTCCCCAGGATGTAGCCATAAGAAGTGTGACATCATCCTTGCCTAGGCACTGAGTGAGGAAGACAGGGCTGAGGTAAGTATAAACCCTAATTTTTTTCTCCCTACAGGTACATTTTATGCCTACTAACAGTAGGCAATTTGTGACGGCGGTCCAAACAGTGTAAGCGGACCCTTTTAATGCCTTCACCAATGGACTCATTTTTCCAATTCTCATGCACATTAAAAACACACATTTTCTTTAAGGCCTGGTTTGCACCCACGTAACAGCGAAATCAGCAGCTTAAATCTTAATGATTTATTGAAATGTCACATTATGCCATGTATGCTAACTTTTCTGGACTGCGCAGGGACCCTTCTTCAGGGCAGCACAGTGCTGAAGGGTCCCTGCGTGGTCCCGAAACGTTAGCCTACATGACATAATGTGACATTCCAATAAATCATTCAGAAGATTTAAAGGTGCATTTCGTGTGTGCTGGGGATTTCAGCTATTACTTGGAAGTTCTGCACGGTGCCATCCGTGACATCACTACGAGCACCACCATTACGTTATGGTCACAAAGTGCTATAAGGTGTGCATGTGGAATCTTTGTGATATCCTGGTTCACACATAGGCGTTATCATGCAGAATCAGTCGCGCGATACCGCGCAAACCACAAAAACCCATACAAGATAAAGGCGACAGTTTACACCTTAGCGTTGTGTCGCACGTGCGATAATGCCTGTCGCACAATAAGATGCAAGAGCCATTTACAGGCGGATGCCGTTTTATTCCCATAGACATCCCGATGCATTGAGAACCGTGCAATTTTCATGCAGTTTTTAAAAGCAAAATCATGCAAAAAAAAAAAAAAACACCACGTGACAAATGTGCGAAAACAGCTTAAAACCGCAATCGCCTAGGTGTGAATAAGGCCTTAATGTGCTCGGGTCACTTCCAAGTAAAAGTACCATTCCGACAGATGAATTTTGACAAATGGCCGTGTGCAGGGCAAGCTACAATGTAAGTTGTAATTGTTACATTTTAAAAAGGACTAGTACATTAGCATGTTAACACCTGTATGTGGAATTTTAGTTGGGTTTGGGTTTAGATCTCTCCCACTCCCCTGGAGCAGAGGGGGATTGAGGTTGATGGGACCGGTCTAAAAGCCAGCTGGGATTGTGGTTTGGGTGAGTACATCTGTTATTTTAGCTCCCTAGACAAAACAAGCACTTAACCCTTGCAGTGCGGGGGTAGCCACACTGCAATGGTTAAAGATTTTATTTGACTGAAGTTCTTCTAAAAAGGAAAAAACTATGTTGCTAGTCAGAATTATCTTGGCAAATGCTAACTACATGTCATTCTTTATCCTGACACACTGGAACACTTGGATATCTGTTAAATGTACAGAATGTGTGGAAAAAAAGGTAGTTGAAAAGAGACATGAAGAACCAAAAGTAAGACTAGAGCATTGAAGACAGAACAGCGCATGAACAATGGTCAATTCATAAATAGTTAATTTGTCTTTCTAAATTTAGATACAGACCATCTAAATACATCAACCCCCAACCCAATTCTAAGAAATGTTATAAAACGCTTATGAAATATATAAACTTGTGAAGACAATTATATTTAGCTTTAAGATTGGAATAATACAATAGTATGTTTTAGATTGTAAGCCCTCACGGGCAGGGCCCTCCTTACCATCTTGTCTTACATTGTATTGTGACTGTAATGTCTTTCTTATATTGTAAAGCGCTGTGCAAACTATTGGCGCTACATAAATCCTGTATAATTACATCGAAGCACAGAGAATTTTGCAAAAATATGACAGAAAAATTATTTGAATAATGATTTGATGAGCAATCTCACAGTACCAGAAGACAGATTCATTATGCTATATATGCAGTTAAACATCACAAAAAAAAAACAAAAACACCACACAGCATAAATGTTAAAATTAGACAGAGATTAACATTTCTAATCAAATTACACAACTGAAGCAGAAAAAAAAAAAATTGACTTCCTTGAAGATGTAATCTTTTTCTCTATTGTCACTTGCTATGCTACAGAATGAATCTGAAATACGATGACTCATTGAAATAAGATGGCCAGTAGGGTACTACTCTGAGGACAGAAATGTTTCAGACCACATACACAGTAGCATGTGTAAAAAGCAGGCACTTTAATGGGGCCAAGAATCACCTGGATAAACAAGGAAGCTACAAGCTTTTATTTGTTGGTGGTTGCAGAGTGTGAATGTAAAAGAGGATTATAAACCCTTAAAGTGACATTAAAGTAAAATGTTTTCCCCCTCCCCCCAATGTTAATGAAAGTACTTACCTTAAATTATGTCTCTTAATCCAATCGTCTTCTTTCCGGTCGTTTTCATCTGTCCCTCCAGCGCTATGGCAGGTCTCCGATCCAGCGCTGACTCCTCTGAGCTTGCTGGCACTTCTGATCCCACAGTGTCTGCATGCGTCCATAGACTTACCTTGTCTCTCCCTGCGTCCCGGCCGAAAATGTGAACTGCGCACGCGCCCGCCCGAGGTTCTTCACATTTTCGGACGGGAGTGCGCAGGGAAGACACAGGTGAGTATTAACCTCTGTTAAAGTGTTTTGTTTTTTTGACACTTTTCGCATAGATCTACTGCTTGCTAGCAGTAAATCTATGCAAAAAAAAACAGAGGCTTTAATTTCCAAGGTGCTGGATGTTCTAATCACTGAGAAACAACGCTGCACTGACACAGAGGATGCAACACAAATTGCAGTATGTTAGCTGCAGTTCCTACGATTTAGTGTGCAAGGGGTGTGTTCAGCAGTAACTCTTTCCCATCCAGATAAAACTGGCTCTGTAGTAATTCTGTGCACCACATAGGTTACAGCAGCAGTGACTGCCACCTCCTGAAGACCAGGGGGCATGTCTAAGGGCAGGTTCACACCACAAACAGTGGTTTCCAGAGCGGTCAACCTCTGGAACGCACTGTATCGAATTCCGGCCCCCTACGTTCAGGGTTGGGAGGGGGCGTGGCAGTGTGTTGAATGGCACCGCAGTCCCACTCCCAGTGCGATCGCCCACACCCGAACGCGTGGCACTGCCAGCGTCCCGATCCAGTGTGAGCTGCAAGCACTATTTTTGCAGATTGCATTGGACCAGAACGCAGGCACCTATGTGCCACATGTTCGGGTGAGGGCGATCACCCGAAGCAAGAACCAGAACAGGTTTATTCTTATTCTGATTGAGTAATCTTGGCATAAGATATTTGTTCTGTAGCACTGTTGATCTGCCATTGTGTAAAAGCAGGTAGACAAAAAAAAAAGAAAATGTATCCTTGCAAAGAAAGCAATAATACCTGTCCCGCTGCCCATGTCACCAAACTTCCCCGTGCTGATACAAGTTTGATTAAAAAATCTTCTGCCAAGCATACGTCACCACTGTGTCCTGCAGTGATGCAAGGGCTGGCGGAGGACACAGCAGTATGCAGTGGAAGATGACAGTATCTGATACTTTCGGAAGTGACAAATGCTGAACATGCTTCAGAAAGCTTAGATCTTTAATGTAGTGGAGTTCGATGGCAGACAGCAGGATAAGCAAGTATTTATTGCTGGCTTTATGGGTTTAAAATGACAACAATGGTGATGGTATGTCCCTTGGCATCCTCACATCCAATACATTGTACTGGACCTGATGACTCAAGGATTCCTAGATCCTAGAAAGAGGCTGGAGTACTCAGTCCCCCTTCACAGTAGAGTCTTACCATTACATCAGGGGCCGCAAGTGCAGCAGCATGGCAGAGAGTGGGAGGCAAATATCTGTCATTTTCTGAATGGATCGCTCCCTCCCTGGATTAGTGTCATTCATTTCCATGTTGCTGGCACCCGGCCAGTCCGCACCATGCAAATACGTGACGATGTGCAAAAACTTCAGGGCACCTCCGAGGAAGCCAGAAAGCACCCCAGGGTTGAGAAAGGCCGGAGGATACAATATTGTTAAAAGTACTATTATTTGCCATAAAGTGTTTTCCACAGTTTCTATTCCCATCATTTAACAAAGGAGGATTCATTTCCTAGCATAGATAGTTCTTGACTGCTGGATTGCAAGTAAACATTTAAGAATTCTCACAGACTACAACCCTCAATGATTACAGAACAGAAACCAGTGTATGCTTGGCTTACTATCAGCTTCTGCATCTGTGTACTGAAATTATGAAACTCCCCTACATCACATTGAAAATGAAGATCAGAAAAATCTGGTTTCTAAATGCACACATTTCAAAAGCCCCAGTTATCAAGCAAGAGTTGCTACAGAGAATTTAGGTTAGTTATGTGAAGTGAATTGGCTGCATTCTTCGATACTGTTAGCCGAGTGACTCACTGTGACATTACATGATGAAAAAATGTTTGAAATGTAAGGGTTCCCACACCCATGACAAGTACATTCTGCTTTATCCTCTACTGGCACTGTTGGACTAGCAAATGTCTCCTCGCCTTCAGGAATATATTTTTCTTAGGAGATCTCCCACCCCATTTATAGGAACCTATTTCAGATCAGGTCAGTTGTTTGTGTTAGAAGACCTGTATTTGACAAATTAAATACAATTTAGTTTTCTGTCTTATAAGCATTTGTATTTCTTACATTGTATTGGGTCTTCCAAATCCCTTTTTAAATTATCAGCCTGCGGGCAGCAAACTAAAGACAACCTGTTGAAGGTACACTGGTTTCGTTTCTCAGCTTAGAATACCACATATTTCTAAATCGGTGAAATAGAAAGTTCTGAAGCA